CGCCCGCTGCTCTGTGGGCTGCCTGGCGCATCTGGGAGCCCCTTTCGTGCCGCGGGGTCGCCGGGAAAACGTAGCGGAAAGAAAGTCCCGTCTCTAAGGTGGCACAGGGAACGCGGCCGCTCGGTTTTCGCACTCGTCTCAGATCTCTACCTGTGCTCCGCGTGAAGTTGGCTTGGTTGCTTTTGTAGCCGTAGGTGAGCAGAACGCACCGCGAGTGTTGTCAGGTATTATTTTTAATAAAGTGAGTGCAGGTATCTCAGTTCTGAGGAATCTCCACAGACGCTTTTTTGCCAAGCAGTATTAATATAAACTATTGAGCTTTCCAGTTTCTCGCGCTTTGCTTGGCGTTTTTCTTTCTGTCATTCGGAAGCAGACGCCAGGTGCCACACTGTTTTTTTCTGTAGTGCCAAGCAGTAAATGAATGGGTTGCTGGGGAAGCGAGGGGTGTGACACCAATAAAAGAGCACTTGGGGGGAAATGGAATGGCTGTCAGTGCAACAGCCTGTCACTCATGTCAGGAAATACGAAACCCGCTTGCTGTTGGGTAACAGCAGGCCAATGTGTTACTTTCCAAATGCGTGTGTTCTACGGATTTGTACAGATTTCAAGAAAACAAAGACAAAAGTGTCTTACAGAAAAGATGGCAACATCCTGTGTTTGTTTTCGGGTGCAGAAAAAAGGGGACAGAAAGGAGCAATTGAAAAGGTAGAGGATGGCCTTAGTTTGGGACATGTGACGTTTGAACTGCGGCTATACAAGTGGTGATCGAATTTATGAGAGTAAAGGGGATGTCCTTAAAAGCAATAAAGAGTTTAAAATAAACACATTGAGGGTAAATCCCTAGAGGACACCGACTGCAAGAAGCAGGATGAAGGAGAGCTTATGTACATCACTAAATTGAAGAGAAACTGAAAAGAAACTGAGAAACTTCTACTTTTTTAAATCTGAAAGGATCAAAAGCAGAGGGATATGGAGAATGGTGAAGATGATGTAATGGCCCTAGGATTTACTAGGAAGAGATGATTATAAATGCATAGATACTTTTACCTCTAGGGACTTTAACCTCATTGGCAGAGGAAAAATATCAGTGTAATTTTGGGCAGAACTGAGCCAAAAGTCCCTATTATATCCATAGTGAGTATAAAAACCCTAGACGTTCACTTTTCAGAGCCCTTTCAAGAAGCCAGACATAAGTTAACGGTTTTGTAGCTGGTTAGTGATTTAGCAGTGCCAAGGTAGGTCAGAGAATTTGAAGCATCTCTGGCAAGAAAAACTTCTTCTGTGCGTTTGTGATCCTTGTCATGATACAAGCTCTTAATGTACAGCAAAGGCACAGGGGTTTTCTTCCCTCTTTAAAACAGCAGAGACAGTAACATTTGTACAGGAGCTGTACAACCTTTCTTCCTGCAGTTTCCTTCACCTGAATTCTAAATGGCACGTTGTGTTTTGTGAGCTAAGTCTTTCCCAACTTCTGTATCCACTTCTGTGCCAGAATTCAGTAAACCCTCTAGGTCACAATTTCGGCTTATTTAAATTCTGCTGGATTTGACCTTGAGTTGGTGTGTGCTTGTGTACATCCATTCATTTCAATGGCATTTCAATGCCCAGCCTCCGCGCAGCTAACGATAAGTAACTCGCCTGCTGGTAATTCTCCGAAGACCCATTTTCCTACAAGGGGCATCAGAAATAGTGACTACAGAGAGGGCTGAAAGAAGATTTTAACATTAAGGCTTTCTTTTCTGAAGCAAGTCTAAAACTTTGAACAGTAAAAATGAGGAAAACCCCACTTGCTTTCTAGTTACTTAATTTTGATTGCTTTTGGTTAAGAATCCATTGCAGTCCTTTATCATGCCAAAGTGCAATATGATTGTTTTAAATAGCTGCATGATCTTATGAACTAACTGAAGGATGGCAAGTGCTTTTAAAGTATACTGTGACTTAAAGCCTTTCTGTAAAGCACACGACTGGGGTTGGTGTTAAAGCAAGGTGCTAGCTCTGACAATAACCTGCATTTCCTAGTCACAGAGGTGGCTTTCTGGTGGTACTCTTTCCAAAAGGTTAGTGTGCTTACGGCTGAACTGGTGCACAGTCAACAGAGCCTGACGTGCACTGAAGATGATCATCCCTGGAAGAAGCTGTGGCAGCTGGGGTGGGATACTCCGTTTGCCAAGGTGTAGCTGATACCTGATGTCAAAATCACAGCAGACTTCAGCTTCAAAAACTGGCAATTTGATTTTTTTTTTCCCCCAGGCGCAATACATTGATTCACATAATATTGTCTGAAACCGTATTCATTTTCAGATCCCAGAACAGCAGTTCTCTGCAGCAGTACAAACGCATTTCTTTTTCTCTCATTTTAGGATTCAGGGTTAAGATTCCACTATGTGGCTGCCGGAGAAAGGGGTAAACCACTTATGCTGCTGCTTCACGGCTTTCCAGAATTCTGGTAAAACTCCCTACGTGATTTTCTTGTATAAAAGAGGCTGCTTAAGATTCCTGAGAGTGATCATCTGGTTTAAGCATTCCCAATGTGATCCATTTTCTGTGTCAAGGAGTACTAACTAACAGCATGAAGTTTAGTAGGGAACAAACCCCTGAAATATTTTTTATCTGCAGCATCCCTGGAGGTGTTCAAGGAACATGTAGACATGGTGCTGGAGGACATGGTCTAGTGAGTGTGGTGGTGTTGGGTTGGGGGTTGGACTGGATGATCTGATAGGTCTTTTCCAACCTTAGTGATTCTGTGATCCACAAAACATTCCTGCAGGCTGACGTGAACCAACCATCCTTTTTGCATTTTCAATCCATTTTTCCCAAGTAGATACACTTTTCTTTAAACTTTGGGGAGGAACTGTTCTTTTTTAATGAACTCCCTGTTTGGATAACATTTGTACTAATACGGCTAAAGTTATGAATTATAGCAGGGGGTGTTCAAATGAGGATCCGTTACATGTTAAGTGCATTATGGATCGCTGCATTTATTAAAAATGCTATGCATTAATTTTTAACTGGGGGATGGGAAGAAGAATGATGAGTTCTATAGGCTATTGTGCAGCCTAATTTCAGAATGTTACTCAGGGAAAATGGTTCTATTATTAGTTCATCATAAGATGAATGACGAATCAAACCCAGTCCTACATGTTTGTTTATAACAGTGAAAAGCAGTCATGTGTCTAATGGCTCAGGCTGTCACTGCCAGGTTTAACTAGTGAAGCATTTTCCTTTCTGAACTCAGATATTGAGCTAGGCTCCACCGTTGGAACTGTAATCTTTCAAGCTGGACTCAGGTCGTACCATGATAAACTGACCCAGGTAAAACAGAGGTCAGGTCTTTTCCCTTCACAATTTCCTATAGATACTAATGGCCTTGAGGATGATGGTAGAAAGTCACACTTATTTGAAGATAAATTTTCAAAGAAGTAGATTTTTCTAATAATAGATTGCTATCTAAAAGTATTTAAACTGTAAACTTTGATTAAAAAGACAGTTGGGTGGGGGGGATTGCATATTCTATGCAAGCATTATTCATACCTTGCATAATGCATATTCTAACACAGTAAGACAACTGAGACTACAGCTGATTTCCCCTACAGCGGGCATAGTAATGGAAAATTGAGCATTTTATATACATCTGAGGTCTGGTATATTACTTTCAAGAAGGAGAAAGCCATTCTTACAGTTTAAAATGGAGAGTCATGCTTTAAGTGACAGCTGATATATTGTATTATCTGAATGAATGAGAATCTGTTATATAGGTCACTGGGACCACCAGTAGCATAGTTGATATAACTTTTTAAACTACGTGCCAACAGTCTACCAGTGTTGATGTTGCTTTGTTAATTCAATCAGTGAAGATTTTCTTATGCAAGAATAGAAATTGTTCTGAGAGCACAAGATAAAATAATCACAATTTTAGAGATATTTAATGCAGTATCAAATCTATATCACTTGGCTAGCAAAAAAACCCCCAAACCAGACATGATTCACTGTTACAGTCCTTAATTGTAACTAATTCTTTGCCTTCAAATGTCTCAAGGTTATAAGTAGGACAACTATAACCAGATAATATTGACCTTAGTGAGGGATTGAGACTGTATGAAGATGAAAGATCACTTAAGAATGGAATGCACCAGAGCCACTGAGTGCTTTAGATGTATAAGAACTTGAAAATTAATACTAATGTTACTAATACTATGTAAAGACCATAATAAAATATTTGAAATTAGGCATAATGTGTTGAGACAGCTGGGTACCTGTAAGACTTTTGTGTCAGCCGTTAAATTTGGCATAAGCTGCCTTTCAGAAAAGACGTGATCAGAAAGTCCCATAATAGTTTCCATTATTCAACCTTATGAAAATAAAAGCATTCACTAACATTTCCAAGTTCTGCTTGCAAAGCAGCTGTCCAATAGTTATATTTGATATGTGGTAAAAGGATTTCTTTGAAAATAAAACCTACCCATTTGGTAGGTCAGGCATTTGGTGGCTGATGGGCTGTTGTAAAAACTGAAGGTGAAGATAGCAGGTAGACATTTTCTGAAAACAAAAATAGTTTATTTATTTATGGGCCTTGTTGTTCCTTCTTACTGAAGTATATAGGATAGCTACGACAGTTACCATGGCAAATTCAGCTTCCAAGTTATTGTATAGTGCCTTTAAAAATTTCATTCCTTGACATCTCAGCAAAATCTTGTATTTGCATTACCTAGCATTTTATGGCACTGAAATGAAAATCTTCTGGTTTGTTTATATGAATACAAGATTCTGTAATTAATGACTGTTGCTGTAATATTGCTTATGTTCAAAATCCCTAATAGGCTGGAGGCAAAGCTAAAGTTGAAGCGCCAATGGCCTATACCAATAGAGACTGAATTAAGATAGAATTCTGTGCATCACTCATGATCGCTGATGATCCAAATGTCACATATCGTTTATCTGACATTGTTGAAACGAGCAGAAGTAAAAGCTAGATTCTAGCACAGGGGGATGCAGCCATTATTATATATGCCTAGAAGGATCATGGGGTTTATATATCTTTTTATTACCATATACGGCACGGCCCTGTCTGTCTTGGTACTGGTTATTCTGAAATTGTGTGGTTTCAGTAACAGTTGAAGGGCAGGTAGTTCTTGCAGGATGAGACCCACCATTTTCCTGTTATTTTTGCTTCATAACACATATCTAGCCACTACATACTATTGCAGAATGAGTAATAGTCCAGGCCTTTGCCCGAGTTTCTGATTTTGTATGTCTTTTAATGTGTGTAATGCTATCGCTCTTTTCCATGGAAACACAGGCAGTGAAATGCTTTGTGTAGTACCAACACGTTAAGAGATTGTCCCAGTGCAGTTCTGGTAGTAGAGAGACACAGATGAAAGTGTATATAATATAAATCATATGAACTTCATCAAGTTCATTTTACTCATGTATTTCTTTCTTTGGTTTATTTAGCGTATGAATTATCTGACATTCCTTTCCTGAAAATTAAAAAAACCCACCACCATGCCTTGAGGCATGTTTCTCTGCTCCATCAAAATGTGTGTGTGAGCAAGCCAGGGAGCAGAGAAAGCTTTTCAGACCTTTTTTGATGATACTACAGCTGCAAGGATAAAACAGAATAATCCTCTGCATGCTCTGGTTTATGCCTGTTTCCTTTGCAGCAAAGGGGCCATGCCAGACTGTTGAAACACCCAGACTCTGCACTTCGTTACTGGAGAATTCAAGAAGGGAGCACAAAACTGTAATAGCCACAAAGTGTTCCACAGAAAGAAAAAAAAGAGTCAAATTGCAAATAAAGCCATGCTAATTTACCCTCAACTATTTGGAAGCAAAAGCATTGAGTGCATTTTGGTATCATACTGCTTGACCTTATAACTCCAGCTTTTTTTTCCCCTTTGTTAGGTATTCTTGGCGCCATCAGTTGCGGGAATTCAAAAGTGAATATCGAGTGGTGGCCCTGGATTTGAGAGGTTATGGAGAAACAGATGCTCCTTCTCACAAAGAAAATTACAAGTTAGATTGCCTGATAACAGACATAAAGGATATTCTGGAATCTCTAGGTGCGTTAGTAGAAGACAAACTACTCAGCTCATAAATTACTTAAATTTCTAGGAAAAAAACAGGAAGGTCTAGCATTGTTTTTTTAAAAACTGCGTTTTCTGTAATATATACACATTACAGATATGTATAGATATATTTCTAAGAATAATCATGTTCTGGATTATTATAAATGAAAAAGGTTTGTTTCCTAATTATGATGTGTATGTCACTATAAGCACACATACAGATGATTTTCCATCATGACTTTAAAAAAAAATCTTCCCTGTGTGCTGTGAATCCAGCACGACAAATCTATGGTCTTTTTCCCTAAGAGGGTCTTCCTTACTCCTAATCTTTGGACTTAGTGGATAATATTTTGAATTAGAGTCTGATAGCACTTGCAGACCAAAGAATTTAAACCAGATGATATTTTTCTTGCACAAACAAGATAGAATAAATATTGTGGGCTTTATAAAGATGATGACAGTACATCTGCTGTGTTTAAAAAAAAATTCCCAAAATACTACTCCTGCACAGTAGTCAGTGCTCAAGATCTGAATCACTGGCTTATACAACAGTGAGAAGAACAGAAGGGAGAACAAAGGACACATTGCTCCTTGTGGCAAACACACGGGGTAACGGTCTAGAGCTAAGTGTCTGCAAAATTTGCCCCTCCAGTTCCGTGTGAAGCATAGCTGTTCTGGCAATAACCTGTAACACCTAGTGAAGGGTATTTCCCTTCCACGCCAATAGCAAGACAAGGGATTAGACTGTCATTCGCTGAATCATTTTAATTCCTTGGATACTCTGCAGATGGTGAAACAACTTACTGCATTTCAGATGAAGAAATAGTAAAAGAGTGATTCCAGTTCTAAGGTTTAAATTTAGAATTTGCTTTGCTTGTGATGTTTGAATATTGTCAGAAGATTGGGCAGGCAGTCCCCACACTGTGTTTACATTTTCCAACCTTTGCTGATTGTGTTAATCTCCATGGTAATGCCATGGTTATCCTTGACAAGTGCTCTCATCATAATTTAATTTCATAGGGATTTGATTTTTTTTTTTAAGTATTTCTGAGGCTTATTATCTTTGTTTATTCTAACGTCAAGTTAAATTCTTTTGGAGAGCTTGATTATACCAAAAGTGCTCCAAAAGATTCTATTCAAGAGGGGTTATAAGGTGCTTTGACAACTGTGTTCAAATTTATGTGAGAATTCTAAACAGTTTGCCTTTTATACATTTCATTTGTCATGTATGTGCTCAGCATTACAACCCTCAGTGAAGAGGGTGACGGTATCTGACACCATAGTACTGTGGTCCAGCAGTGGTTAGAGGAGAAATGGTTAGGTTTTCAAAAACATAGTCATGATTTTTCTCCCCACCTTTTTTGTTGTTAAATTACCATTTTTATCAATGGAAGAATAAGTATGTGAATGCCAAGAACTTTAAAAATTGCCATCAAGACAGCATATGGAGAAAAGGTATAGGCCTACTAAGTAAGTAAATGCGTGTATTTATGCATGTGTGTATATATATGTGCTATATATATATGTATGACTACCAAGTGTAATGCCCACTTTTTGCAAAGTGATGCTGCTCAGTGCTTAGACAACCTCCCATGCTCAGGGAAATTCCTAAGGACTAGTTTTGTTCCGGAGGGGCTCAGGACATTGCTCGGCCCTTCTGTCTGCAGTTTCAAACTCCAAACTCTGTAAACATGACAAATGTACATTCTTCATAATGACTGCAAGCTGAATTGTATATCTAACCCTACACTGGCCAAACTGTGAACAGGGTGGCCATTTGGATACTGAGTGACTTTAGTTTGACACTGAGGTAGTATAGTTAAAGTGTAATTGATGTCCAATTAAATAATTTCCATTATTTGTCAGTTTTTTAAACTATAATACTGCACTATTCTTTCTGGCCATGATTAATGGAAGCAGTGCAGTATTAAGTAGTTACATTAATAAATGTGCTGGACCACCTATTTTGTCTAATAATGGATTTTAATGGATACAGATCCTACTGAAATAAAAGCATGAATCTGTGTTTATGTGGTAGGATACAACAAGTGTGTGTTGATTGGCCATGACTGGGGAGGAATGATCGCTTGGTTGGTGGCTATATGTTACCCTGAAATGGTGACTAAGCTGATTGTGGTTAATTTCCCTCATCCTTCTGTGTTTACAGGTAAGTTTTACAATAATATTTGTTAATCCAGGGTATCTGCATTTTCATTAGGATTGTGTTTGGTTTGAGGTTGCTAAAGAAACAACTACTTGCCCCTTTAGATATTCAGTAGATAAGTTGCCAGTACTCAATGCCTCTTGAAATCTGTAGTGTATTTTATGAAGCAGCAAAGTATCAAGTATTTGGGTTTTGGATACAGTTTACTGTAGGGAGTGCTTGCAACCAAACTTGCAGATGCTTTTCTTAATTCTCAAAGGTCCACAAACATAATTTTCATATACAAGAATCTGGTTTATATCACTTTGGCAAGATAAAATTCCATGAACAGGGGTGTATGTTGCATTACACCTAGGTTAAGGTCTCACTGCATTATTAAATCTACATAAAACAGCCTTTCTATAAATGTAAACCAGACATTATAATTTAATCCTGATTTAGTTGACAAGCAACAATTTATGATCTCGTACAATATTCCCTGGAGCAAGACACCCTTTCCAGGCTACTTACTAGAAGTTCAGGCATGTACTAGTAGTGAGCTGACAAGGATTTAGGTGCACTAGCACAATTTGTTGTGTGGCAGACCTTGAGCTTGTCTACTACTCAGTTACAAAACATTTCATAGGGATTAGATCAATACTCGGTAATTAAAACCAAAGTAGTATCTCACTAATTTTAATTTCTTCAATTGCTGTCCCTACCCTATTTCTATTTGAAAAGTCACCCCATTTCCCCAGAAATACTTAAGAGTATTCAGTGCAGCTTTAATTTTCATTTCAGTTTAAGGTAAATGTGACCTTACACCACTGTGGAATCAGAATCATTCACACATGTTCTCACAGTATTCTTGGGCACCTTTCTTTGATATTAAAAAAAACACTTTGCCAGGTAGTTAAGCCTCACTTACCCAAGGAGACGTGTGTTCACCACCACCTCAGCAAGCTGGAGCTTTATGCAGTATTTTCACTAAGAGCAGGAACCAGGCTGTATAGAAGACATATATTTTATTATAGTATTTCTTAGAATTTGTTTGCATATTTGTTAAAGTACAAAACTGTAGCTTGATAAATTCTCCCTGGATCAAATTTATTCTGCTGTGGATTAAATGAAAATACATAGTTTCTAAACTGCAGAATAGTAAAGTGAGCAATGTTGATGATGTTCCGTCGAGGAAAAATAGAATGGGTGATGTAATTGAAGAATGTATAAGATATGAAAGCTTAGAAGATAGCTGACACTTCAATTTACTTTGGTTTAAAACCAATTTTTATTCGCTGTCAGAATTAATATTTCAGACATATCTCCGATGTTGGGAGTGCAATTTTGCCTTCCTGAATAGGCGTCTGTAAAGGATAGGTTCTAGACTCCTAGTACCTGCATACATTCTGTGGTTGCTTCGAGGAAGTTAGATATTTGAATGTCAGTGTTGGCTCTTGCAACTCAATGGAGACACAAAATTTTAAAAAAAAAAAAAAAAGGCAAATTTGGCTACATCATTTGTTACATATGCTCCAATGTCTTTAAAAAGTGATACTGTATAATCTTGATTATGCTTCTTGAAATTGCCAAGACAACTGTTAGAAATTTTCTGTACTTTCATGAACAGGATTGATGCTGTCTGTAGAATAAAAGTGGATTAGTGGGCTATCATCTACAGATTTCTGCGCATCACATTTTTGATAAGAGAAATACTCAAAGGCTTGTATTTGTGCCTCTTACCCCACAGCTGAAAAAAATGCTTTGGACTGGCTTCACAAATAAATCTCTAAATGAAAACCTATCATGCAATTGAACTCTCCAGTGTCACTGCCCTCACCTAATCCTTGGCAGGCTTCCAGTTTGCTGACTGTTTCTATTAATACATATAAAAGAAGTATGTTTTAATGGCCACATCATATATTTACTCCTAAAACAATAATCGTCTTTTGTCACATAGCATGCTCTAACGTAGTATTTTTAAAACATTCTTTTAAGTTTAAAAAATAGTAATATTAACAGTAATTTTGTTTGAGTCATCAGTTTTCATTTTTAATTTATGGGCATTTTTGTTTCAGAATACATTCTACGACATCCATCACAATTGATTAAATCTGGTTACTACTTCTTTTTCCAAATGCCATGGTTTCCTGAATTCATGTTTACAGTAAATGATTTCAAGGTGAGCAAAATGAGTGCTCTTGTTTATGTATTTAACTGTGAATAATGGAAGAATTGCCACCTATGTTGATCCCTTCTGATGTAGTTATAATTACTGGAAAAAATACAGAGCTTTCTGATTTTTCTTCTTAAGCTTTGTATATTTACATAAAGTAAGATATAAGTACATAGAGTCTCTGAGATTAGCTCTTGGTTTTGCATTTCTGGGAGGCGTTCGGGTACATACTTTTAACCTCCAGCACTCCAGTGCATTATTCCACCTAGACAGTCAGCTGGTTTTACTTGTGCCCGTGCCAGTGGGACACGTTTGGTGCCTGGGGAAATCCTGCGGACTTATCTGAAGCTCCTGTGCGTAGTGGGGCAACCTCTTACCCCTCAGAGCCTGCTGCAGGGCAGGCAGCCTGGGAGTCTGGACATCACATTCAGCCAGGTGATTAATTCTGCCTGAGAAACCAACAAGGCCAAGACCTTGTATAACCTTAAAAAATAAGCACAAGCGTATAGAAAGGGGAAAGCAGGCATGCATCCTTCTACATGCATACAGCCCAGTACAGAGCTCCCAGTGCTGCATGCACCCAGGGCACAGCAAGCTGAGGAGGTCCTGAATCATTCCCCCTCCCACCCTTGCAGCTGCTGGGGTCCATCCCAAAGAAAAGTATGTGCCTGCACTTGCATAACAGGGAAATACTGGTATTTGCCTGTACTTGATTCTTCTGAACTAAGTTTATGCCAGCTGCAAGTTAACTGGGTGCTTTACACATAGATCTCTCAAAAAGCATTTAAACCATTCATTATACTCCAAAAAATGTGTAAATAGGTTTTAGAAAGATGTGTCCTGTTGAAGGAGAGAAATCACATTTTCCAGCTATCTTACGTGGTGGCTTTTTATCTTCCTTTTGTAGGTTCTGAAAAATTTATTTACCAGCCAAGCCACTGGAATTGGAAGGAAAGGCTGCAGATTAACAGCAGCGGATATTGAAGCTTATGTCTATGTCTTTTCACAACCTGGAGCATTAACTGGACCCATTAACCATTACAGAAATATTTTCAGGTGAGTGTAAGGTGCTGAAATAAGATGTTCAGAGTCCCCTGGAGGCCGGCAGTGCCGCGGAAGCACAAGGGAAAGCTGCCCATCTGTTTGGAAAGTCTCAGCAGGTAACACACATTCAGTGTCAAGCGCTGCGATGTGCAGTGAATTGTATGAGATAGCCACACGAAACACTGAAACAACCAGAGTGCAGATAAGGAAGATCTTTGTTTCAGAATCTCATAAAGCAAAGACACCCTTATTCACAGGACCCATGGCTGTCACAAAAATCCATCTCTGAATAATACAAAATTAAATCAACTGATTGTTTCTTTGCATTACAGTTCATATTATCTAATAATAAACTCTTAATAGAGCTTATTATTAGATAATACTACTGTATATTATGGCATCCATGTAAGTTACCCTGACTTTTCCTTGTAACTTTACAAAACCCTGTCTGACTCCAGTTTTACTGTGTTTAGGCTGTTTCTTTATAAAATGTAGGATAGGGTTTTTTTTGTAACTAAGGACAAAACTAACCCTAACTCATTTTTTCTTTCTGTTACTTCATTGGTACCATCAGACTCGCTGGCAGCAGTGAGCACATACAGCAGGGAGTATGCATAGACTACAACTGAATGACAGTATCATAATAGAAAATATTTTTGCAAGCTTAATATTTATTTTATGTTCTCAAGCAGTTTTCTAACGATTTTAATTTTCCTGGAAGGAGTTGGCTTGGCCTTAGAGACTGCCGCCCACTTTTTAGCTACCAGAAATTTGACAGGGCCAGAAGGTCTTTAACTCAGCATAAACTCTATGTGTGACTTGTAGCCCTAACTTGAAGGACTATACCAAGAAGAGTGGGATTGAACTCTTTATTGCCTCTTCAACAGTGCTAAATCTCCTGCGTGCTTCTCTAACACAAGACCAGCTTCCCAATATTCTTTAAAAATTACAATTCTCTTCCTTCCATAAACTCAGACAGTCGATTTTTTTAAGTGGATTAACTTTTCATTTTCCCTCATCCAAATTTAACACCACTTTTACTGCTCTTTCTGTACCTTACATACTGTCACTGTCAGGGGAGCAGTCAGCAAGAAAATGCTGGGAGGAAGATGGAGAGCCGAGCTAGCTGCTGTCTTGTACGGGCTAAGAGACAAAACTGGGACAAAAATGTAGAGGGGTGGTATATTTTCTTCTAAACAAGATAACACCAAGCACAGACACCAATGGGGAATAAATGAGATGGCTGTGATGGTAACAGTAGGCTTATTTAAAGCGGTGCAGAGTGGCGATGCCATCAGCAGGGATGTCTGAGGGCGCTGGGGAGCTGCGTGGCTGCACAGCAGGAGCCCCGGGGTAGGGCTAATGAGGAGCTGGAGAGGCATGAGCGGCCCTGAGCCTTGTTCATTACATTTGCCTCAGCACCTTGCTCAGTGAGTGCGCACATTAACCAGATGCTTCTCTGACAGTAACAGTGAAATGTCTGTGATAGCTGAATTGCTCTGGGATTCACATGAGAGGAAGGTAAGAGTTGTGTATGTTTGAACTGTTGTTTCGGGCCTTTTCAAGCTCAAGAAAGCCTAGTATCAGTTATTAATCAGAAAGCATCTTCACAGCTATTAATTCCTCTCTGTGTGTGTGCACTGTTTATAATGAAAGTATACCTGTACTGAATTCAGAGAATAGTATTTTAGGTGCTATCAGCCAAAAGACAGCAGGCTTTGGCCTGGAAGGAAAAGATTGATCTTCAGCTCATTCAGTTCTTGCCACCGGTTGTTATGGTCACATATTATTGAATAGAATCATAATCGTAGAATGGTTTGGGTTGGAAGGGACCTTAAAGATCATCATAGTTCCAACCCCTGTCATGGGCAGGGACACCTTCCACTAGACCAGGTTGCTCAAAGCCTCATCCAGCCTGGCCTTGAAGACAGCCAGGGATTATAGGATGTGAATTATTAAATATTAAAACTGCATTGAAATTTTCAATTTCTCTCATATAGGCCATTGAGCCGCACTTAGATACTGATGACTTGTGTTACAGTGCCCAGTAAAGTGGCACTGGTGACCTGCATGTTAAAGGTTTCCAACTCATTACTATCCACCTGGAGTTTCATTCTTCAGAGCTTAATTTTTCTGAAAAGTTTTCCAAAGAGATGATTGAAATAACCTACTTCCATCCATCACCAACATGTCCTTGTACAAATAGCACAGCAGTCATTCCCTTTGCTAAATTTCAGGTACAAACACTTCTGGAATAAAAATCATAAAACTTTTTGTATCACGCTTGGTTAAGAGATAAGTAAGCAGTTGAAGCTTTAATTTCTTCTGATACACCATTTTTTTTGGAAAATGGGATTATTTCTCTTAAGCAATTAAGAAGTACTTCAGTATTTGTTGACAGAAAAACTGCAGGTCAGCTAACAGTGCTATAGGAAGGTTTGAGTCTGTTTTTCAAAAAATAAGTTTCACGAAATAAACTTCCCTTTCTAAATGTGAAATCTGCGTGTTAATCCTTGTTAAAGGAGATTTCTAGAAACATCAGGCGTGATATAATGTGCCATATTCTAGACTGGAAAAAAATAGAGTGTAGGTCGTAGGCAGTGAGTAGTGACAAGTTGTTTATCTCTGCAGTGTGCATAAAAAGCCCAGTAGAGTTTTCCTAACTGAGGCTACAAATCTTGTATGGCACTTAGCCACAAAAGGATAATTGTAAACCCTACAGTAGTGAAGAAAACCCACAGATAAATAGTGAAGAGATCCAGGATAATGGATTTTAAATGTTTAAATGCACTGAATCAGATGATCAGATTATCAATTTTTAAAACTGATACTATGAATAAGCTATGGTTCAATGGGTTAGGTCAGTTTGTCTGAAAAATGAGATTTTAAATCCAGTGTTACAAAAGCCATTTTAAGAATTTTCCTAATTCATCAATCAAAATGAAATTAAATTATTATTTAAAGTGACCTTTAATTAATATTTGTTGACATTATGTGTAAGTAGTGAGGAGGAATGTCTTCCAAGTCTCCATTTTTTGGTTTTATCTTAAAGTAATGCATGTCATCTTCTTTGTCTTTCCCTTTTTCCAGAGCATGGTCTCTTAACTAAGTCCTGAGTTTCAACCTAGCACTTGCTTGTCATAAAACCTTGTTCAGAAAATCTTCTTTATACATTACTGGTTTAAAATAATCATGTTTGAGCATTAGTATACTTAAGATTTGTATCTGATCATATGGAATCTGTTTTGAATTGACACAGCTAGTCTGTTATAATATGTGGCTAAGATAAAGCAATTCAAGCACAAATTTGTCAGCATCTCTAAAATATATGAGCTGGAATAAATTCTGGTGGGTTAATATGGTTTATGTTGAAATAGTCTTTCATGTCTAGCTACCTGTATCTTTCCTAATGTCTGCTTTTAATGTGAGGAAATATTTATAAAATATTCCATCTAAAATAATTGTTTTAGGAAAAAACAGTAAGTTTTTACCGAAAGCTTAAATAGGTCATTGTGGTGGTATAATGTTTATTAACATTTTACTTTCTAAGGGTTTCTCTGCAAAGTATCAATAAAATATCTTACCGTGTATTTATCTTTAAACGCTTTCTAGTCTGCCAGTGCTCTGGGTTGTAATGTTGCAGTTTTAAAGAGATTATGACTCCATGAAAGGCAGATCTTGAAGGAACAGGGTTTTTTCACTGCATACATACATAGTAAGTAAGTCCGAGGCCTTCAAAAACATACCGTAGCTCTTTGTAAAGGGAACTCTTACGCACTTTGAATGTTAGCATGAATTTCGTAAATGAGTGAATGTAACTGGCTTCAGTTCAGCATTTCAGACATCACTGTTCTATAGAATAACTTTCTCTACAAATATTTTTAGTTTTAGCTGTAATACATGATACTTAATTTTGAGTAAGTCTGAAACACTCTAGCTGGTATCTTCCATAGTGTCCAAAAACAGCAGCCTGCCATTTCCTAGACAACCAGTTTTTGGTAAAGCAGTTTGGCTACTCAAGTAGCTAGATGCCTTGAACACCATCGTCTAAATGTGACTCAAAGCATCATATTTCATTAAATTCACTAAAACCCACTTGCAGTAAATAATGCAGGTTCAGAAATTTGCCATAGCATTCATCAGTCAAGGGAAAGCCACTGACCCACAAAATTCTGGCAGTGTTCTGGGGCTCCTGAACTCTGCACCATGCATAAGCATCATTCAAATTCCAAAAATAAGACCTCTGTTGCAATCAGCTGCTGATTACAGACATGTTACTGTAGAAGTATAACAATTTCACCGTCCTTAAAAACAATTCAAGGGCGTTGAGTCACAGGATTGTTTTCTTGGTATTGTAGAAGATACCTTGGAACCTGGAAAGCTTGCAGTGAGATTCACTGTTGGTTTCAAAAGCTGAGTTGCCTGAAATCTGTGGTGATTTTTATAAAAAAGACCTAACAAAGTGTGTTTTATTTTTAAAGCTGTCTACCTCTGCAGCACCATGAAATCATCATGCCAACCCTGCTGTTATGGGGAGAAAGAGATGCGTTTATGGAAGTTGAGATGGCAGAAATCACACGGATTTATGTTAAAAATCATTTCAGATTAACTATTCTGTCTGAAGCCAGTCATTGGCTCCAGCAGGATCAACCTGACATAGTGAACAAGTTGATATGGACCTTTCTAAAAGAAGAGACAACAAGAAAAAGAGAATGACTGTTTGTAATTGTTTTAAGGGGTCTACATAAAAGCTTTTCAGATTTAAAAACTATTGTTATCAGGGCCATATTTCCAGCCTGCCTTCTATTTTGAGCTCTGTTAGAGAAAAGTGTTTCCAATGTATTCTGCATTTGGACACCAGTGTTTCTGCTAAAAGAAGAAGTATGAGAATATGTGATACCAACATTGGTTTTACCTGTATACTTGTATTTTGCACATAAAAACACCTGCCTTAAGATATGTATGTATTTGTACAGAAAGAAAATAATGGAAAGTTGCTTGGTTTTGTTTTCTCCTTGCTTTACAGTTTTAATGTGTGGTGCCTTTTACAAATTTATAATGAAACAATAGAGTGGTGCCATACTGAAGGAAGTAATGAGTTTTCATTCTAGATTCACCTGAATTTTTTTTAATGTATTTTACCATTCAACAGTAACTAACTCTTTTTATTATCTATATTTTAGCATACTGAATGACTGAAAAATTTCTGGGCACATTTCTAGTCTTCAAGTGAATAATGATCCACACCTTACTGTATTGTTGAATGCAACTGCTTTGTGCAATGTGTTTTTCTTCTGTGACTAAAAAATGGGAAACCTGTACACTCTACATGTCTGAACAAGAAGAATGGAAAATAAAGATATAATATGTATCAAATCCACCTCTGTGTAATAAAATGCAACTTAACACTACTCCCTTTACTTCCTATGGAGAGATTTCTTACTGAAGCTAAGAACAGAGTTTGGATAGCTGAAGTGTCTATGCCCTGTGCAGCCTTCCTGATGCTGTGATTGTTGTAGTTTCTTGGAAATAATGCCTCATTGTTGGCATTATCCTTCCTAGGTTAGCAACTACTGTTCTTGTCTCCAAGAACTGCTGCCAAGTTCCTGTGTCCATAGGAGGAAGAGACACAGTGATTACGGAAAGGGAGGGTAGAATCAATTTGCATGTGATGGCAGGGGAGAAGAAAACTGGATGCTAACTACAAAGAAAAATGAAGCATGAAACCTGAGTCCCCAGAATAGCTGAGTCACCTCCCTGTAGGGTTTCCAAAGGCTCCCTCCATCTGCAGAGCAAGTCCATACCCTGGGAAAAGGTAAGGATGAGCAAGGGCCCATCGGGGGAGGCATCGGAGCCAGCTGAGCCTGAACCAACTGCCCACACCAGCCAGGGTAGGAGAGAGCTGGCAGTAACTGAGGTGTACCCCAGGTCTCGTGCTGTTGTACGTGTTGTCGTTGTTGGGCCACAGTCTCCTGCACGGGAACTTGCCGCAGCCCCTCACAAGGAAGTTGTTCCTCAGACGAAAGTGGGCCGAGGGGTGCTGTCAGCTGAGCTCCTGGCTGGTGATCTGCCTCTTGTGTTCGCAGGGTCTGAGGAAGAGTCCCCTCGGGACTGTGAAAAAGGTATCGGTCTCACCTTTGCCATCCACGGATACGGTACCTGACTTTCAAGGATTATTTTTTCCCCCGAATATTTTCAGCGTTTCTCAACTTAAATGGTTACATGGTTCTGCTTAAAGTTGGAAAGACTCTTCCTTGTCTCAGAAGGGGGCTGTACAGCGACTTTTGTCACCTACGCAGCGGTCTAAGTTCTTGGCAAGAAAGCCATGGCTGGGGGTACGTTTTTTCCTGAGGGGTTCCCACTTGGTGTCCGCCCGCCCGGGCGCGGG